ACACTTGTGGTCCCAGCCTCAGCCTCTGGAATCGCTGGGACCACAAGCATTGCCACCATGTCCAGTTAATTTTTGTATTTTTTGTAGAGACGGGGTTTTAGCATGCTGGCCAGTCTGGTCTTGAACTCCTAAGCTGAAGTGATCTGCCCAGCTTGGCCTCCCAAAGTGCTGGGATTACAGATGTGAGCCACCGCGCCTGGCCCATAGTATTTTAAAACTTGTTCTTCTGTTCCATTTCCCATAAATTATGTGAGATCTAGAGGCTTATCAGACTCTTTTCTTTCTTTCTTTCTTTCTTTCTTTTTTGAGACAGAGTTTTGCTCTTGTGGCTCAGGCTGGAGTGACTATAGTGCCACGATCTTGGCTCACTGCAGTCTCTACCTCCTGGGTTCAAGCGATTCTCCTGCCTTAGCCTCCTAAGTAGCTGGGATTACAAGCATGTGCCACCATGACTGGCTAATTTTTTATATTTTTAGCAGAGACAGGGTTTCACCATGTTGGCCAGGCTAGTCTTGAACTCCTGACTCAAGTGGTCCGCCTCTGTTGGTCTCCCAAAGTGCTGGGATTACAAGTGTGTAATCCAACCTCTTTTTCTTTCTTTCTTTTTCTTTTTTTTTTTTTTTTTGAGACAGTCTCCCTCTGTCGTCCAGGATGGAGTGCACTGGCAAAATCTTGGCTCACCACAACCTCTGCCTCCTGGGTTCAAGCAATTCTCCTGCCTCAGCCTCCCGGGTAGCTGGGACTACAAGTACGCACCACCACACCTCGCTAATATTTGTATTTTTGGTAGAGATGGGGTTTCGCCATGTTGGTGAGGCTGGTCTCGAACTACTGGCCTCAAGTGATCCACCCACCTCATCCTCCAAAGTGTTGGGATTACAGGTGTGAACCACCATGTCTAGCCACCGCAGTTGTCTTCAATAATTTCCCTGCCTTTGCGTATGGGAAATGCTCATACCAGAACGAACAAGATGAATGGAATGGGATATTGTTGAGTGGAATTTTAAGTTTTTAGGAAAAGTTAGAAATGATATAGAACGATATTATCCTTTCTCATTCTGAAGAAGTTTGGTTATTGAAGAGAACAGGGCAGAGACCAAGGAGAGAAATTTCTGTAAACCCTGTGAATTGGCTGGGCACAGTGGCTCACGTCTGTAATTCCAGCACTCTGGGATGCTGAGGTGGGCAGATCATGAGATCAGGAGATCCAGACCATCCAAGCCAACACGGTGAAGCCTCGTCTCTACCAAAAATACAAAAACTAACTGGGCGTGGTGGCTCATGCCTGTAACCCTAGCTACTTGGGAGGCTGAGACATGAGAATTGCTTGAACCTGGGAGGCAGAGGTTGCAGTCAGCCGAGATCATGCCCCTGCACTCCAGCCTGGTGACTAAGCAAGACCCCATCCAAAAAAAATATAAATAAAAGTAAAAAATAATTACTATTTGGCTGCTGTCTCTTAAGGGTCCTGAAATTTCTATTAGATTCCTTCTATAAATAATTGAGCCAGGTGTGATGCTTATGCCTGTAATGCCAAGGCTGCAGTGAGCTGTGATTGTGCCACCACACTCTCCAGCCTGGGCACCAGAGTGAGACCCTGTCTCAGAAAAAAGAAAGAAAAAAAAGAATGGAAGTCTGGTTCATTGAGTAATCCCAGCACTTTGCAAGACTGAGGTGAGAGGATCACTTGAGCCCAGGAGTTTGAGACCAGTCTGGGCAACGCAGGGAGACCTCATCTTGAAGAATAAGAAAGAAGAAAGGCCGGGCGCGGTGGCTCAAGCCTGTAATCCCAGCACTTTGGGAGGCCGAGGCGGGTGGATCATGAGGTCGAGAGATCGAGACCATCCTGGTCAACATGGTGAAACCCCGTCTCTACTAAAAATACAAAACATTAGCTGGGCATGGTGGCGCGTGCCTGTAATCCCAGCTACTCAGGAGGCTGAGGCAGGAGAATTACCTGAGCCCAGGAGGCGGAGGTTGCGGTGAGCCGAGATGGCGCCATTGCACTCCAGCCTGGGTAACAAGAGCGAAACTCCGTCTCAAAAAAAAAAAAAAAAAAAAAGAAAGAAGAAAGAAGAAGGAAGAAGAAGGAGGAGGAGCAGGCAAAAGAGGAGGAGAAGGAGCAGAAGGAAAAGAGGGGGAGGGAGAAAAGGAAGAAATGAGCCAGGTGTGGTGGCTCAGGCCTGTAATCCCAGCACTTTGGGAGGCTTAGGTGGGCAGATCACCTGAGGTCAGGAGTTTGAGACCAGCCTAACCAACAGGGTGAAACCTCATCTCTACTAAAAATACAAAAATTAGCCAGGCGTGGTGGAGCGCACCTGTAATCCCAGCTACTCAGGAGGCTGAGGCAGGAGAATCGCTTGAACGGCGGAGGTTGCAGTGAACCAAGATTGTGCCATTGCACTCCAACCTGGGTGACAGAGTGAGACTCTGCCCCCCCCCCCACAAAAAAAGAAAGAGATGAAGAAGAAGAAGAGAAGAAGACCTAGCACACGGAAAGGAGACATCTCTAAGTAAGATTCTAAAATACCATCTGGGTGAGGAGACAAGAGTACAATGACCTGGCCTGTTTGATTGGTTTACCATGGTGTTCCCAGCCCTTCTGTGTGGTAATGTTCCTGTATTCCAGGTAGAGGTGACACATTTAATTTCCTGATATGGTTTGGATCTGTGTCTCCCCCATATCTCATATTCCGTGGTAATTCCTAGTGTTGGAGGTGGGGCTTGGTGGGAGGCCTCAAAGGTATTTCAGAGACCTTTGCGGCAGCCCCTCCCATCACAGGCCCAGAGGCCTAGGAGGACTGAATGGTTTTGTGGACCATGTCCAGGGCTCCCCTGCTCTATGCTGCTTTCTGCATTCCAGCTTTTCCAGCTCCAGGCATGGCTCAAAGGGTCCCAGGTATAGCTCGGGCCACTGCTCCAGAGGGTGTAAGTCTACCTTGGCAGCTTCCACGTGGTGGTAAGCCTGAGGGTGTGCAGAGTGCAAGAGTTGAGGTTTGGGAGACTTTGCCTAGATTTCAGAGGATGTATGGAGTATCCCGGGCCTCCAGGCAGAAGCCTGTTGCAGAGGCGGAGCCCTTATGCAGAACCTCTACTAGGGTAGGGTGGAGGGGAAATGTGGGGTTGGAGCCCCCACGTGGAATCCCCACTGGGGCACTGCCTAGTGGAGCTGTGAGAAGAGGGCCCCTGTTTTACAGACCCCAGAATGATAGATTCACTGCTACCTGGCACCCTGCATCTGAGAAAGCCACAAGCACTCAACACCAGCCCACCAGCCTGTGAGAGTAGCCATGGGGGCTGAACCCTGAAAAGCCACAGGGATGGAGCCCAAGGCCTTTGGAGCCCATCCCAGTACCCACCCTTAGCATCTGTTGGCAGTCATTAAATGATTTACATTCCTTACCCCAGGTCTCCTTGTGACAGTCACCCCCCAAATTTTCAGGTTCACTCTGGCCATAAAAGTGAGATTTTGGCATTATTAGCATCATGTTGGAATCATGTTTGGACTTACATGGGGCCTGAAGCCCCTTTCATTTAACTCATTTCTCCCTTTCAGCATGGGAGTATTTACCCAATGCCTATACCCACATTGTGTCTTGGGAGTAACTAACTTATTTTTTATTTTACAGGCTCATAGGTGGAAGGGACTTGCTTTTTCTCAGATAAGACTTTGGACTTTGGACTTTTAAGTTAATGTCGGAATGAATTAAGGCTTTGGGGATTATTGGGAAGGCATGATTGTATTTTGAAATGTGAGAAGGACATGATATTTGGGAGGGGCTGGGGCAGAATGATATGATTTGGACCTGTGTCCCCAACAAATCACATGTCAAATTGTAATTCCCAATGTTGGAGGGGGGGCCTGGTGGGAGATGACTGGATCAGGGGGGCAGGTTTCTCATGAATGGTTTGGAACCACCCCCTTGGTACTGCCCTTGAGATTGTGAGTTCTCCTGAGACTGGGTTGTTCAAAAGTGTGTGGTGCCTCCCCCCTCAGACTCTCTCTCTTGCTCCTACTCCGGCCATGTGATGTTTGTGCTCCTCCTTTGCCTTCTACCACAATTGCAAGTTTCCCGAGGCCTCCCCAGAAGCCGGGCAGATGCCAGCATCATGCTTCCTGTAGAGCCTACAGAACCATGAACCAATTAAACCTCTTTTCTTTATGAATTACCCAGTCTCAGGTACTTCCTTTTTTTTTTTTTTTTTTTGAGATGGAGTCTTGCTCTGTCGCCCCGGCTGGAGTGCAGTGGTTTGGTCTCTGCTCACTGCAGCCTTCACCTCCCAGGTTCAAGTGATTCTCCTGCCTCAGCCTCCTGAGTAGGTAAGATTACAGGTGTGCACCTGCATAATTTTTGTATTTTTAGTAGAGATGCAGTTTCACCATGTTGGTCAGGCTGGTCTCGAACTCCTGACCTCATGATCTGCCTACCTTAACTTCCCAAAGTGCTGGGATTACAGGTGTGAGTCATCGCACCCGGCCAGGTATTTATTTATAGCAATGCAAGAGCAGCCTAATACACCTCCCAATAACTGTGTTATCCTGGTCGTCTTGCCATCAGTGGAAAGATATTAACTATATTGGCAGTACGAAGGGGGTGGTTCCAAACCATTCATGAGAAACCCGCCCCCTAATCCAGTCATCTCCCACCAGGCCCCCTCCTCCAACATTGGGAATTACAATTTGACATGTGATTTGTTGGGGACACAGGTCCAAATCATATCATTCTGCCCCAGTCCCTCCCAAATCACATCCAAGGTCCTGGGGCCTCCTGTGTGTGATGGAACATTAATTACATTCTCTTGGGAGTGAGGGGTGAGATTTTAGGTTCATTAAAAGAAAGCATAGGTTAAAAAAACAAAACAAAACTTTAGTAACACTGGTTTCTATTTCTTATCCCCAGGTCTCCTTGTGACAATCACCCCCAAGATTTTCAGGTTCTGTCTGGCTATGAAAGTGAGATTTTGGCATTATTAGTGTGAACTAGCTACCATAACCCCTCTTGGAGGCCTCTTCAGCTCTTTATTGTGCAAGATACAAAGGGTAGGCGGAGGAGGAGCCGCGGGCCCCAGGCCCCTAAAGACAAGGCCATCTGAGGAACAGGCTCACCAGTTTATTTCCTGGTGCTTCCGAGAGCTCATGGAAAAGCAGCACAGGGAGCACAAGCAACAGTAGTCAGTAAATGGATACCACTCCACACGTCTGCACAGTCTCAGCTTGGCTGTGTGGTACACACTGGCTCCCAAGGGACAGGTGCCGAAAGAGAGCGGAATGAAGGCAGGCGCCTGAGAAAGTGAAGGCTCAAAATGTGGAGTATGGGTGTTGAGGGGTAGAGTTCAGATCCAGATGTCAGAACTACAATCGCCCCCAGGGTAGCGGAGCTCATGGGCGAGGGCTGGGCCAAGGGGCTCCTTCCCGAAGTCCACCAGGAAGTTGGGGTTCAACTTCAGCCCTCCTTTTACTGTGTCTACGTCAACCTGCAGCATCACAGAGCCTTCCCTGGTGGAAAAGGGGAACAGGGTAAGGGAGAGGTCAGAGATGAATCTTAGGATTTTAGGGGAAGGCTCCTGAGGAAGGAGAAACGAGCAGGGTCTCCATGGGCCATCTGTGTGGTGGGGGACGGGGGGCTCCCTGAGGAGTCTTTAGAAAGCTGAATGACTCCTCTGGAAGAGGAGGGCTGGGGAGGTGAGCCCACGTGTCTGCTTCTCACCTGATGAGATCAGGGTAAAACTGCTTGTCCCAGGCACTGTACAGCGACGTGGTGACGTAGAGGCGCTTCCCGTCCAGGCTGAGCTGGATCATCTGAGGGCCTCCAGGCACCCGTTTTCCCTTGGGAAAATCTGGGGTCAGAGCCTGGGTAACACACAGATCGCAGGCACCACCCCAGCCCCAGGAGTATGCCCAGGAGCTGCTCCCCATCATATTCCTCAAGCATGCATCTGGCAAGGAGGGGGAGAGGCCCTTACCTTGACCACCAGGGGCTCTGGCTGAGACTTTAGTTCCTGGTCCTCCAACACCTGCACGGGGCCTCCCTTAACGATGCTGCCTCCGAGGAAGAGCTGGATGGGGAGGTACAGAGTATGAGGACCACGGTGGGAGGTCAAACGTTGCAGGAAGAGTAGCTTGCCTGGCCGGGGTCCCTCTCTCCTTCAGACATGCTCTGCATGCCCCTCCCTGGCCTGGACAGTCCGCTGCACTGGGCCTACACCTGTAATCCCAGCACTCTGGGAGGTGGAGGCGGGCAGGCGGGCGGATTACCTCAGCTCAGGAGTTCGCAACTAACCTGGCGACACTGTGAAACCCTGACTCTACTTAAAAAATATTTAAATATTAGCCTGGTGTGGCGGTGTGCACCTGTAGTCCCAGGTACTCGGGAAGCTGAGGCAAGAGAATTCCTTGATTCAGGGAGGCAGAGGTTGCAGCGAGCCAAGATAATGTCCCGCAGCCCACATGTCTGCTTTTCCTGCCCCTCCCTCGCCATCCTCCAGCTGCTTTGGACCATCCACCCCATCCCCAGATTCTCTTCTCCTTCCTTTCTCCCCTTCTGCTTCTCCTGCCAGCATCCCCACCTGTCCTGTGAGGCGCGGCCTTTGCGGGTCGGAGATGTCATACTGCCTCAGGTCCCCGTGCAGCCAGTTGCTGAAGTAGAGGAAGCGATCATCCAGGGACAGCAGGATGTCGGTGATCAGGCCTGGGGGCAGAGGGGCGAGTAGAGCCTTTAAGGACTCTTGCTTCCCAGGCCAAGAGTCAGCTTTCCCATGCCCTAGGCACTCACCTGGCATTTCGGGCAGCAGCCAGCCCTTCACTTTCTTGGGGGGCACCTGGATAACCTTCTCCACTGACCAAGTACCGCCCTACATTGAGGGGTGGAGGGGGAGGTTAGCTGGCGGAGAGGTGAGCCTATCAGAATTGGGGGCTGGGGGTTAGATCTGGGTCGCCCAGACCTGGGAAGGAGAGGTTAGATGCCCCGGCTTCTTGCCACTAGGCTCTAACTCCATGCAAGTTCCTTGAGGCAGGAGTTGTGTTTCACTACCGAATCCCCAGAACAAAACACAGTGCCCAGCATAGAAATTCACTGAATAGGGGCCGGGCGTGGTGGCTCACGCCTGTGATCCAAGCACTTTGGAGGCCAAGGTGGGTGGATCACCTGAGGTTGGGAGTTCAAGACCAGCCTGACCAACATGGTGAAACCCTGTCTTTAAAAAAATAATAATAATAGCCGGGCGCGGTGGCTCAAGCCTGTAATCCCAGCACTTTGGGAGGCCGAGGCGGGTGGATCACGAGGTTGAGAGATCAAGACCATCCTGGTCAACATGGTGAAACCCCGTCTCTACTAAAAATACAAAAAACTAGCTGGGCGTAGTGGCGCGTGCCTGTAATCCCAGCTACTCAGGAGGCTGAGGCAGGAGAATTGCCTGAACCCAGGAGGCGGAGGTTGCGGTGAGCAGAGATCGCGTCATTGCACTCCAGCCTGGGTAACAAGAGTGAAACTCCGTCTCAAATAAATAAATAAATAAAGAATAATAATAATTTTTAAAAAAGAAATTCACTGAATAGTTTTTGAATGAATGAATAAATATGGCCAGTTAGGGTTCAGGCAGAAGTTGGCCTAGCCCTGAGAGAAGAGAGACAGGGCATGCAGCCTCATTGTTTTCTTTCTCTTTCTTTCTTTCTTTTTTTTTTTTTTTTTTGAGACGGAGTTTCGCTCTTGTTACCCAGGCTGGAGTGCAATGGCGCGATCTCGGCTCACCGCAACCTCCGCCTCGTGGGCTCAGACAATTCTCCTGCCTCAGCCTCCGGAGTAGCTGGGATTACAGGCACGTGCCACCATGCCCAGATAATTTTTTGCACTTTTAGTAGAGACGGGGTTTCACCATGTTGACCAGGATGGTCTCGATCTCTCGACCTTGTGATCCACCCGCCTCGGCCTCCCAAAGTGCTGGGATTACAGGCTTGAGCCACTGCGCCCAGCACTCTTTCTTTTTTTTTCTTGAGACAGAGTCTTGCTCTGTTGCCAGGCGCCAAGCTGGAGTGCAGTGGTGCAATCTTGGCTCACTGCAACCTCTGCCTTCTGGGTTCATGCAATTCTGCCTCAGTCTCCCGAGTAGCTGGGACTACAGGCATGCGCCACCACACCCAGCTAATTTTTGTATTTTAGTAGAGATGGGATTTCACCATGTTCATCAGGATGGTCTTGATCTTTTGACCTCATGATCTGCCCGCCTCGGCCTCCCAGAGTGCTGGGATTACAGGCGTGAGCCACCGCGCCTGGCCCAGCCTCGTTTTTTTCATTCCTGGAGATGCCTGGGCTGATGGAGCCTGGGAGCACCATTACAGAAGCCTGCTTAGGTAGAGCTGCTGACAAGACTACTGAGAGGGGAGGGCCAGAGGGCATATGTCACCTCGTTCTTGTAGAAGCGCTGGATGGTGGCACTGAGAGCACAGCCCACAAAGCCTTGGGCAGCGTCTGGGTTGTGCAGGAAGCGGATCTCCAAGGGAATGAGCCCATCTTTCATAGACAGGGTCTGCACGATCTCATGGCGCTGCCAGTCCCACACATACAAATGGCTCCCATACAGCCCTGGGATAGGAGTGGGGCCAGAGGGTAGGCTCAGCATCAAGGGTTGGAAGGCATGGACAGAGGCTGGGCCGTTAATCAGGGCGGAAGGTTAGGAAATGGATTGGAGGGATCGGGAGGACGCTTGGGCAATCTGAGCATGCAGTACCTCCCATGCCATCCTCATAAGATTCCGGGGCCACAGGAGGGAAATGCGAGGGTGGGCGATTTGGAGCAGAAAGCAAGGGGATGTGGGCCCAAGGCTCCTGCTGGGCCATGGGGGGATTCTCACCAGCCTCCACATCAGCGGGGTTAAAGCCATCTCGTAAGACATTGGGAGCTGCCCACTCCGTGCTGATCATGACATTGTGTCGAGGCTGGTACCAGAAGTCATAGCCCAATGGCGCAGCACCCCCAGGTCGCTCCCATGTCCCCTTCACCTCGAACGTCTCCCCATCCAGCAGCACAAAACCCCCTGATCAGGGAAGGAAATAGAGTAGCGGTAGAGACACGAACTCTGCCCTCCAGCCATCACCCCCAGGCATGTCCAAGAGGCTTTATGCCACTGCCTTCATCCCCACTGCTGGATTTGCCAGCTTCTTAAATTCAGGCATCCAGGGCTGGTGGGGGGCGGGTAGTGACTCACACCTGCAATACCAGCACTTTGGGAGGCCGAGGCAGGTGGATCACTTGAGGTCAGGAGTTCAAGACCAGCTTGGCCAACATGGTGAAACCCTGTCTTTACTAAAAATACAAAAAAGTAGCCAGGCATGGTGGCACACACCTATAATCCCTGCTACTTGGGAGGCTGAGGCAGGAGAATCACTTGTACCCAGGAGGTGGAGGTTGCAGTGAGCTGAGATCGTGCCACTGCACTCTAGCCTGGGTAACAAGAGCGAGATTCCATCTCAGAAAAAAAAGTAAATAAAAAGTTCAGGCATCCAAAAGGTTCCACCCAGAGGTGGCCAGGTGGCAGGGAGGGCTCCGCTCTAGTGCCCCTGTCTCCTGTCAGCCTCATCCGTCTCACAGATCACAGTGGAAATCTTTCTCCCACAAGATCTTCTGGGACTCAGCACTTAGTATTTCTCTCATCCAGCCTCCCACTTCTGGAGTGGGTTCCTCCCAGAGTCTAAGCTCCATTCTGCTCTCTACAGTTTTTTGAGACAGGGTCTCACTCTGTCACCCAAGGTGAAGTGCTGTGGGTCAATCACAGCTCACTGCAGCCTCCACCTCCATGGGCTCAGGATCCTCCCACCTCAGCCTCTTGAGAAGCTGGCGTTGCAGGCCTGCACCACCACCCCTGGCTAATTTTTGTATTTTTAGTGCAGAGTTGCCAGTACCAACTCTGTTTTCTCAGCAGACAACACAGCGATGGGGTTTTACCATGTGGGCCAGGCTGGTTTGGAACTCCTGAGCTCAAGCGATCCGCAGGCCTTGGCCTCTTGAAGTGCTGGGATTACAGGCATGAGGCACCGCACCCGGCCTGTTTTGACTATAGCTTTGTGGCCGGGTGCGGTGGCTCAAGCCTGTAATCCCAGCACTTTGGGAGGCCGAGGCGGGTGGATCACGAGGTCGAGAGATCGAGACCATCCTGGTCAACATGGTGAAACCCCGTCTCTACTAAAAATACAAAAAATTAGCTGGGCATGGTGGCGGGTGCCTGTCATCCCAGCTACTCAGGAGGCTGAGGCAGGAGAATTGCCTGAACCCGGGAGGCGGAAGTTGCGGTGAGCCGAGATCGCGCCATTGCACTCCAGCCTGGGTAACAAGAGCGAAACTCCGCAAAAAAAAAAAAAAAAAAAAAGACTATAGCTTTGAACTGAATTCATCAGTAAAGGCTCATCCTAATAGAAATACTCAAAACCGAAGTTACTTGCTACCATTTAAAATACTGGCTGGGACCCAGCTCCCTGGTTCTCCTTGGGAAGTCATCCCTCCCTTCACTTGGGATCCACTCCTCCCACAGAAAAATGCTTCCCACATTGCACAGCTGCAGAAGTTTTCATGAGCACATGGTGCCGGCGGGTACCTTTGCCATCACCCTTGACGTCTCCCAGGGAGCTGATCATCACCTCCCCGCTGGCCAGGCAGTGGGTGGTGTGGAGAAAGGCCAGTCCACACTTGGCGTGGATGTCCTTGGGTTCGATGACCTGGAAGGGGTGAGGAATTGTTTCAGAATCTTACAGGGCTAGGAGTCCCTGCTCTTAACCTCCATACTTCCCGACTCCCCTACTTCTTCTTCTTTTTTTTTTTTTTTTTGAGACGGAGTTTCGCTCTTGTTACCCAGGCTGGAGTGCAATGGCGCGATCTCGGCTCACCGCAACCTCCGCCTCCTGGGTTCAGGCAATTCTCCTGCCTCAGCCTCCTGAGTAGCTGGGATCACAGGCACACGCCACCACACCCAGCTAATTTTTTGTGTTTTTAGTACAGACGGGGTTTCACCATGTTGACCAGGTTGGTCTCGATCTCTTGACCTTGTGATCCACCTGCCTCGGCCTCCCAAAGTGCTGGGATTACAGGCTTCAGCCACCGTGCCCGGCCCCGACTCCCCTACTTCTGTCTTCTGACTGTCATCTCTTCCTTCAAGACATGGACACAAAGGCCGGGCACGGTGGCTCACGCCTGTAATCCCAGTACTTTGGGAGGCCAAGGTGGGCGGATCACGAAGTCAGAAGATCAAGACCATCCTGGCTAACAAGGTGAAACCCCGTCTCTACTAAAAGTATAAAAAATTGGCAGGGCACGGTGGCTCAAGCCTGTAATCCCAGCACTTTGGGAGGACGAGGCGGGTGGATCACGAGGTCAAGAGATCGAGACCATCCTGGTCAACGAGGTGAAACCCCGTCTCTACTAAAAAAATACAAAAAATTAGCTGGGCATGGTGGTGCGTGCCTGTGATCCCAGCTACTCAGGAGGCTGAGGCAGGAGAATTACCTGAACCCGGGAGGCGGAGGTTGCGGTGAGCCGAGATCGCGCCATTGCACTCCAGCCTGGGTAACGAGCGAAACTCCGCCTCAAAAAAAAAAATTAGCTGGGCATGGTGGCATGCGCTTATTAGTCCCAGTTGCTCAGGAGGCTGAGGCAGGAGAACAGCTTGAACCCGGGAGGCGGAGGTTGCAGTGAGCCAAGATCGTGCCACTGTACTCCAGCCTGGGTGACAGAGAGAGTCTCTGTCTCAAAAAACACCAAAACAAACAAACAACCATAAAACGGGGACATAGTTCTCCCTGTGAGTATATGACAGTTACCTTATCCAGTCTGGTAACTTCTACAGAGCAGCAAGGGAAAGTCAGAGAGATTGCTACTAACTCCCCATGCAGGAAGTATTGACCTTTCCCCGTGTGTCCTGAAGGCACACACAGGCCTGTGAAACCACAGGCTCCTCCTGGGCTGCCCACACCGGTGTCAACTCTGTATTTGCAGCAGACAACACAGCGAGTGTCTGGCACTATGAGCGTACTGGACAAAGTGTTGGGAGGGACTGGAGTTTTTTTTTTTTTTTTTTTTTTGAGACGGAGTTTCGCTCTTGTTACCCAGGCTGGAGTGCAATGGCGCGGCTCACCGCAACCTCCGCCTCCTGGGTTCAGGCAATTCTCCTGCCTCAGCCTCCTGAGTAGCTGGGATTACAGGCACGTGCCACCATGCCCAGCTAATTTTTTGCACTTTTAGTAGAGACGGGGTTTCACCATGTTGACCAGGATGGTCTCGATCTCTCGACCTCGTGATCCACCCGCCTCGGCCTCCCAAAGTGCTGGGATTACAGGCTTGAGCCACCGTGCCCGGCTGGGACTGGAGTTTTTAAGAGAAGCCCTGAGCTCATAACTGCATGGGGGAATAAATGGCTCCCTCCCTCTCTTAGAGTAAAGCAGGAAGCCTCCTCTCTCTTCTGCGGTGCTCTGGCCACCGTGCTGGAGGCTGATGACAACCCAGAATGTCTGTGTAGACTTTGCTCTGAGGTCATCCTCCCTCCCTCTGCCGCGCCAGATCCTGCATAAGAGCTGGAGGTTGCTGATTTGGGGCTGGCTTCCCGCCCATAGACTGCCTGGGGTGGCAGGTATCTTGTGGTCTACTGAGCTGGCAAGGGCGGAAGACATGCCTTGTGCAGCTTTGGGGCCCGGGGCTCGGAGCCCACGTCCACCACATAGATGCGAGAGGAGATGAGACTGGGCAGCACCAGCTTGGTGCGCGACTTGGTGCCGTCACCGAAGCAGCTGCTGCAGGCGTTCCATCCTGAGTGATGCAGCTCGTCCTTCAGGTTGGGCATGGGCAGCCGGTGGATGACCTAGGATGCGGGGAGAGGTGGTGCTCGACCAGGCCACGCCTCTGTCCGCTTTTGGAAGGGGTGCCCCCGTGGACCCATTTGGTGTGGCAGCGCAGCACAGGCTGGATTTCAGCACTTCCCTTCTCCCTTGTGCAGTGAACAGCCTGCACAACCATACCCAGGGAGGGCCAAGAAGGATGGAGCTGGGAAGGGCAGCCCCAGGGCCAGGGATGAGGGCAGCTACGGTCCCAAGGTAGCTGGTGCCCAAGCCCCACTTTACCTGGCAATACTGGGGAGACTTGGGGTCAACATCCACAGTGGCCAGATAATCTGGGGCCTCGGTGCCCGTGTTTCGGTAAATGCACGGCAGGTAGACGATCTCCTCCCGGGGTCCTGCAGGGTAGAAAGCAGGCAGCGGGGATGGCAGGGTGGGAAGGGAAGGTAGGGGCGGTGCTGGGTGTGCCAGAGGGTGAAGTCCCTTCACCCCTAGCTGTGGAAGCAGTAGCAGGGCGCTGACTCTCAGACCACGGGCAGTTACCTTTCATGGCCTCCAGTGGGGTGGAGTAGCCGGGTCCACAGTTCCCACATTTCGTAGCTGTGGAAGCAATGGGGCGCATTGACTGGACTATACGCTGGAGGATGAGGGCTCCTTCCCCACACCCTGCGGCACGCATCCCAGCGGGCCGGAGCAGGGGCGGCTGTCCTAGGTCCTCACGCCAGCCTCATTACTCTGGCCTGTCCTTTCCACCGTCCCCAGAGCCCTGACGAGGGTGAGGTTTTGGTGGGAAGAGCTGGGGACACGTGATCTAAAGGTGGACACACGGGCCACCAGGGCCCCGGCGGGCAGGAGGAGGGCTGATGCAGCCGGGCCGTGTGGTGCAGTGAATACGACACAGACGTGGGGCCCAACCCCAGCCGGCCCCTGAGTAGCCAGGGGAGCTTGGGCGATGTACTGAAGCTCCTCAGCCTCAGTTTCTGCATCCTCTAGAAAATAGAGATGGTAAGAATTGCACGGCGGGCCTCTGCGAGCGGTAAACACGAGCGTGCGGTACGCGCTCAGCTCTGCGCTGGCCCGGGCTCTGTCCAGGGGACTGCTCTGGAGGTGCCGCTCTCAGGGACAGGGGTGGCGCCTGCTCAGCTCCCTTCACCCAGATGTTTCGACATCAGGAGGAGGCCACTTCCTGCTCTTCTCTCTCCTGGGTCCTGAGCCCAGGCCGCTAGCTAGGGCCTGGATTCCATTACCGAGAGTCTGGGGCTTCCAGCTGGAAGTCCTCAGGCCAGCTTCTAGCCCTGGGTGGGCCTCACTTCCTTTATCTGGAAAACAGGTGTTTGGCCCAACTCTGGAGGGCCCAGAGGCCTGGCCACCAGAGAGGTGGGGAGCAACCCTCCCTATCTCTGAAGTCTGGCAAGAGGGGCCATGCTAATCTCCAGGAGGAAGTCAGCAGATGCGCAGGAAGGCTGGGGCGTCACAGCTGCCAGCACCCCAGCGTCAGAGTTTGGGGCCTGCTGGGGAGCCGGGGGGTGGGGAGGGGGGCGGGGGGGTGGGCTAAAGAATAACCCAGAGTGGGCTGCAGGCTCAAAGAAACCCTGGAGTGGAGTCCGCAGGCCTGGGTACTGTCTCCTGCCTTGTCCTGTGGCCACTCCAGCTTCTGCCCTAGCTGGGCCGCAAGTGGGGAGCCAGGAGTAGGCAGAGTGGGGCCTCCACTGGGGCCTGGGACTTACGAAGCTGAGAGGCAGCAACAGCGTTTCAGCGTCTGGAAACCTGGTTTCAAATCCCACGTTTGATGCCCCATTTTTCCATTTTCTCCCCTTCATTTACTAAGAGGGGGCAATAATCATATTCCACTTACCTCTCTGGGCATACGTGGAGGACAAATAAGACAATATATTCAAAAATCCTTTCATAAAAGTGAATTAGGCCCGGCGCGGTGGCTCACGCCTGTCATCCCAGCACTTTGGGAGGCTGAGGCAGACAGATCACCTAAGGTCAGGAGTTCGAGACCAGCCTGGCCAACATGGCAAAACCCTGTCTCTACTAAAAATACAAAAATTAGCCAGGCAGGGTGGTGCACACCTGTAATCCCAGCTACTTGGGAGGCTGAGGCAGGAGAATCACTTGAACCTGGGAGGCAGAGGCTGCAGTAAACCGAGATTGCGCCACTGCACTCCAGCCTGGGCTAAAAGAGTGAAATTCTGTCTCAAAAAAAAAAAAAAAAAAAAAGAGTGAATTTTGTGTAACTATGGGTAGGGCTGTGCCAGAGGAGAGGAGAATGCCCGGCAGTGTTGACACTCAGAGAGAGGGCTGGAGGTGGGGCAGGGAGAGGGAGAGGTCCGGTTCACAGAAGACTGGTTCTGCTAAATGACCTCGCTAAGTCGGGGCTTGGCACCAGATGTCAGGGGTTGGGGAAGGAGGTTGCTGGAAAAGGAGATTAAAAAACTCTAACATGGCTGGGCGCGGTGGCTCAAGCCTGTAATCCCAGCACTTTGGGAGGCCGAGGCGGGTGGATCACAAGGTCAAGAGATCGAGGCCATCCTGGTCAACATGGTGAAACCCCGTCTCTACTAAAAATACAAAAAAAGTAGCTGGGCGTGGTGGCGCATGCCTGTAATCCCAGCTACTCAGGAGGCTGAGGCAGGAGAATTGCCTGAACCCAGGAGGCGGAGGTTGCGGTGAGCCGAGATCGCGCCATTGCACTCCAGCCTGGGTAACAAGAGCGAAACTCAAAAAAAAAAAACAAAACAAAACTCTAACACATCAAAACAGAGATACAAAAACGACAAAGCCAGGGAGGGGCTGAGAGGGAAGTAAAGGTGAGGAGGCTGAGCTGCCTGATCTCTGCCCACCCACACCCCAGCATCCCCAGCCCCGGCATTTCTTAGGACCAGGCCCAGCATGCACTGAGGCCTCAGGGAGCATCATTACTCTTTCTGGGGAATACCTGCCTCTGAAGCATCTCAAGCAAGGTTTCGAAGCAGCTGTGGGTTTGGGATGGACCCAGGGAAAGCTCAAGTGGGTATTCCACTCCAGGCTGGCTGCTGGGCATTCTGCCAGCTCAAGAAGAGCCAAGCCTGAGTGGGGAAGGACCTCCCAACCAAACCCCAACTCCTCTCAGCCTGACACCCGGGAGCCCACGGATAGAGGAAGAGCAGGGCCAAGGGGAACTTCGGGGGTGGGGGAAACAGGTCCCCAGTGAGACAGCATAGGGGTCTCCAATTTCCCTCCCAAAGAGCTTTGCTGTGTGGAACAGCTAGAGGGTGACCTGGACACGGAAGGCGTGGGCCCCCTACCTCCCTGGAGCACAAAGTTGGCCCAGGGCTGAAATCAGGATCGTCTCTCTCCTATGTGAGGGCCAGGGACCTAGTGGTGTCTTCTGAGAGCCCCCCATCTGATTTTCCCAGCTGCAGAAAGGCACCCTGGCCCCAGCCTCTGCTGGATGGAGCCAAGTGGGGGCCCGGGGGTCCACCTCCCAGCAGTGCCTCTACCAGCCTCCCTCAGAGAAAGTTTGGCTAAGCTGGGAAATGCAGCAGGGTGGTGAGGGGGGGAGGTGCAGACTGGGGACAATGGAGCAGAGTCCAGCGCTCCTTCCCCGGCTCCCCCCTCAGGCTTTCTAGCATTTTCTGGAGGAGGGCCCTCCAAATTAGGGGCAGACAGAGCAGGCAGTGTGTGATTGGAAGCCCCACTCCTTACCCATGCTGCCGACCGGTACGCTTTGATCTGATCGTGGCAGGTTCGCTGTGCTGGTGTCAGAGGCCGCTGTTCCCGGGAAGGGACGAAGGGAGGGAATTTATATAACCAGCTGGAGGTGGGGAAGGGCAGGGCAGGAGGAGGGCCTGGTTTGCAGCCCAGAGTGAACTACTCCGGGCAGTGGGCCAGGACACGCTCAAGTTGCCTGGGGCAACTGGTGTTTGAATTAGGGGGTGTGTATGTATGTGCTTAAGTGTGCAGGGGTGGGAGCTGTGCTTTTTTTTTTTTTTTTTTTTTTTTTTGAGACGGAGTTTCGCTCTTGTTACCCAGGCTGGAGTGCAATGGCGTGATCTCGGCTCACCGCAACCTCCGCCCCCTGGGTTCAGGCAATTCTCCTGTCTCAGCCTCCCGAGTAGCTGGGATTACAGGCACGAGCCACCATGCCCAGCTAATTTTTTTTTTTTTGTATTTTTAGTAGAGACGGGGTTTCACCACGTTGACCAGGATGGTCTTGATCTCTTGACCTCGTGATCCACCCGCCTCGGCCTCCCAAAGTGCTGGGATTACAGGCTTGAGCCACCGCGCCCGGCCTTTTTTTTTTTTTTTTTTTTTTTGAGACAGGGTCTCACTCTTGCCCAGGTTGGAGTGCAGTGGTGCGATCTCGGCTCACTGCAAACCTCTTCCTCCCAGGTTCAAGCGATTCTCCTACCTCATCCTCCCGAGCAGCTGGGATTACAGGTGCCCACCACCATGCCCAGCTAATTTTATATTTTTAGTAGATAAAGGATTTTACCATGTTGGCCAGGCTGGTCTCAAACTCCTGACCTCAGGTGATCCACCCGCCTCAGCCTCCCAAAGTGCTGGGATGACAGGCGTGAGCCACCGTGCCTGGCCAGCTGTGCTCTTCAGTAGGTGCCTGGGTGTGTGTGAATTTGTGTGTCTGGGTGTGTGCGTGCTCCTGTATGCCTGTGTGTTGCTTGTGCATGTGCCTGCATTAAGTGTGTATCTGTGCCTGTGTGTGAGTTTACACCTGTATGACCGTGCCTGTGAGTGTACTTGTGTGTATTTGTGTTTGTGTGTGTGTGCGCGCCTCTGTGAGCACGTGCCTGCCAGAGTATCTACGCCTGTGTGGACATGTGCCCAGTGCCTGTGTATGTGCAGCGTGTGCCTGTGCAGCTGTGTGCTCGAGTGAGCCTGTGCATGCGCATGTCCCTGTGTCTCCAGATGCTCATCTTTGTATTGGGACCTGTCTCTTGGCATCTAGGGGCACCCAGGACTGCGGGCCCATCTGCTGCTACCTCCACAGCCAGGCTCACCTCTCCCCTAAGATTGCCCTCTGATTCCAGATAGTCATACTCTTTGGATAAAAGCTCTGGGGTGGCAGGGCGCGGTGGCTCACGCCTGTCATCCCAGCACTTTGGGAGGCCGAGGTGGGCGGATCATGAGGTCAAGAGACCGAGACCATCCTGACCAACAGGGTGAAACCTCCCTACTAAAAATACAAAAATTAGCCAGGCGTGGTGGCACGCACCTGCAGTCCCAGCTACTTGGGAGGCTGAGGCGGAAGAATTGCTTGAACCCAGGAGGCGGAGGTTGCAGTGAGCCGAGATTGTGCCACTGTACTCCAGCCTGGCGACAGAGCAAGACTCCATCTTGAAAAAAAGCAAAAACAAAAGTTCTGGGGTGAAGTTTTTGTTGGGTAGATAAAAGAATAAGGTCTGGGCTTGAGATTGCAAGTAGAAGATGGGGTTTTCAAACCAGAGTGGAGGAAAGGGGAGCAAAACTGGGCCTTGGTGCAGTGGGTGTCTGTCCTTCTGGCTCAGCAAAGGATCCTATGCCCATCAGAGAAGAGTCTCTGTGGCTGCCCAGAGCAGGGGTCTTCATTGATCCCCAGCGCCACTCCACCCCTCTTGGCTCCATCCTGCGTCTGTCATCCTCACCATTGCGCCATCAGCCCGCCAGGCATCAAAGAGCCTTGTGTGTGCAGCTGCCCCACGGGGGAGGCCCCCAAGGCTGCTTCCTCCTGTCCTGGCTACCTCCACTCACCCTGCCTTCGTCCTTCCCTCTGGCACTCCTCCTCCCGAGGTCTCCATCTGCCTCCTCTCTACTCTCCAGCGTCCTGGCTTGGGGTAGTCCACCACCCAAGATCTGAAAGAGAAAAAAACCTTATCCCCACCTTCTCATCAAAAATTACTGAATTGGGGTGGGGAGGGATAATGAGGGGAGAAATACCAGATATAGGGGACGGGGGGATGAAGGCAGCAAACCACCTTGCCATGTATGTACCTATGCAACCATCCTGCATGATCTGCACATGTACCCCAGAACCTAAAGCACAATAAGATACAGAAATAAATAAAATAAAATCTAAAAAAAAAAATTACTGAGTCATTAACTTAAAAAAAAGGCTGTTATTTATTTTTTTATTTTTATTTATTTATTTTGAGATGGAGTTTTGCTCTTGTTACCCAGGCTGGAGTGCAATGGCGCGATCTCGGCTCACTGCAACCTCCGCCTCCTGGGTTCAGGCAATTCTCCTGCCTCAGCCTCCCGAGTAGCTGGGATTACAGGCACGCGCCACCATGCCCAGCTAATGTTTTGCATTTTTAGTAGAGACGGGGTTTCACCATGTTGACCAGGATGGTCTCGATCTCTTGACCTCGTGATCCACCCGCCTCAGCCTCCCAAAGTGCTGGGATTACAGGCTTGAGCCACCGCGCCTGGCAAGACTGTTATTTTGTTTGTTCTGGTCTGTCACTGACTCCCTTTTTCATGCTCCTGACCTCTGACCCCGCTGTCTCTGCGGCTCCTCCATGGCACCCCTCACCTCTGCCTGTGGCTTTCCCCCTGAACTCTTGCTCTACCCAGAAAGGTGGTTGAGGAAGTTGTCCTAATCTGAGCTGCAGATGGGTCAAGCTGGGAAGCGAGAAGCCCCCAGGGCATTGTTGCTTCTTCTGGACAGACAGAACTTGGGTAGGTGGTGGAGAGCACCCCAGTAAACACCATTAGCTCCTAAGCACTCTAATGTTGCTTCCCAGGAGCTTAAGGGCTCCCTCCCCTATTCGATCTGCCCTTCCCCCGCCTGAGGTCAGCCAGACCTGGGCAACACGGATTCACAGCACAGGATGCTGGCTTTGGAGTGCCTCGAGCTTCTAGCCCCGCATCTGGGCTCTGGGCAGATCCCTGCAGAGAGGGTCGGACTTTGGCTCCAGCTCTGCTGACCTTAGAAGGGTGGGCACTACCACCATGCTGAACCCCTCCTTCCTGAAGGAGGTTTTGTGGAAGGCTGGGGTGGGTGGGGTCTGCGTTCTTCTCTATTGCTTCAAGCCCCAGAAAAGCATGGTATTGGAGGAGGCGGATTATCATGCTGACAGCTGAAAAATCAGATGATTATTGTGAACCCAAAATATTTAAGACAGGTCTAAATCAACTTAGAGAGTTTATTTTGCCAAGGTTAAGGACGTGCTGTGACACAGCCTCAAGAGGTCCTGAGGCCGTGTGCCCAAGGTGGTGGGGGCACAGCTTGCTTTTTTACATTTGAGGGAGACGTGAGACATCAGTCAATATCTGTGAGACGTACATTGGTTAGAGATTAAGTTTTCTTCCACGTGGTGTGAATGCTGCTCCCCCTGATTTTGGCCCGGACCTCCACCGACAGGAAGTGGGTTCCTAGGGGGTGGCAGCAGGTACCTCATTGTGTAGGGAGGGTGGGCTTGCTGCTCATTCCTCCCCGTCTCCCCCCACTCTCAGCCAGATTACTTTGAGCCTCTTCAACCAGGTCCTGAGATCATTGATGGGTGAGATGAGGAGGTGAGGAAAGAGGCTAAACACAGAGAATAAAAGGGAGGGGAGATGGTAAAGTGGGAATCTTTAAAAATACACACATATGTGTGTATGTGTGTGTGTACATATATATAAATTTTTTTTTTTTTTTTTGAGACGGAGTTTCGCTCTCGTTACCCAGGCTGGAGTGCAATGGCGCGATCTCGGCTCACCGCAACCTCCGCCTCCTGGGTTCAGGCAATTCTCCTGCCTCAGCCTCCTGAGTAGCTGAGATTACAGGCACGTGCCACCACGCCCAGCTAATTTTTGTATTTTTAGTAGAGACGGGGTTTCACCATGTTGACCAGGATGGTCTCGATCTCTTGACCTCGTGATCCACCCGCCTCGGCCTCCCAAAGTGCTGGGATTACAAGCTTGAGCCACCGCACCCGGCCTATATATAAATTTTTAAAAGCTCAGGTCTGGTGGCACACACCTATGGTCCCAGCTGTTCCGGAGGCTCAGATGGGAGGCTCACTTGAGCCTGGGAGCTCGAGTCTGCAGTGAGCCATGATCAAGCCACTTCACTCTAGCCTGGGTGACAGGATGAGACCCTGGCTTTAGAAACTAAACTAAAATAAAACACATTAAATTCAAGGAACTTGGCAGTATAAACCAAAATGAAAGGAAGCAGTAATAGTTTAGTAAGAGGGAGTGACATTCGGCAAAAAGGAGAATGAATGGCTATGAACCACGGAGTGCGCACCAGCCTTGCCTGGATCATCCCGTTTACACTGTCCCACAGTCTCGGAAGCGACACTCCATTCCACCTGTGAAGCAACTGAGGCTCAGAGAGAGCCAGAGGATGCCCACCGAGACCCATCTGGCTGCAGAGCTCCTGGATTTTCCAGTCACTCCGTGCTGTTTCGTATTTTGTTTCGCTCTGTTTGGTTTCAGGAGAAGCGGGAGTGGGGAGGCAGAAGAACCAAGGGGCATTTGGAAAACTGTGGGGTTTTGCTTCTTGGAAGTCCCAAGACAGAGAGACTCTTTCTCTGAAATGAGGAGAGGAGTGAAGAGGCTATTGTTTCCTGGACTGGGCAGGTAGGGAGGGATAGTTGGAGACCCTTTGTGCTGCAGGAAAAAGATTAGAAGCGTATACATCTAAGTGCTAGCCATGTTTCCTTTGGAGAGAGACAATGAGATGAGGGAGAAGATTTTCCGTTTTCACTTTACTTTATATACATTTGTATTTATTTATTTAGTTGGTTAGTTATTTATTGAGTTTGGAGACAGGGTCCCGCTCTGTTGCCCAGGCTGGAGTGCAGTAGTGCAATCACGGCTCACCGAAGCCTCGATCTCCCAGACTAAAGCAATCTTCCTGCCTCGGCCTCCCATGGTACACCTGGAGAGGTAAATGCCTTTGGCTTCATCTTACATGCAGGAAACAGAGTGTTCCCAGTTCACTCCATTGCCCACACTTACTGCATTGTCTCTGAATGACAGTGAGTTCAAAGCCTCCTGCTCAGGATAATAACATGGCTCAGAGAAGAGAAATACTTTTTTTAATGCCATCTGCCAGGGCTGTCTATAAAAAACATAATTTGAGAGCCACTTGGAGGACTTTCTCCCCACACCAATCCACTCAGAAATATCCTCCCTTTGGCCCGCCATGGATCATTGAAACTTCACCAATAGCAACTGATGTCTCTGTGTTACTACGAGGTGGCCGCCTCTCACCTCCCAGTGGCAGTCATCACCTCTGGAGTGGTAACACTTTAAGCTCCTAGTGCTGCAGCTCCGCTTAGTTTTATCAGAAGCATGCCTCCCAGTGGGCAGCACTACAGAGTGGCCGGGGACCTAATGATACCCAGGAAGAGGCTAAGGTGAGGGACAGAAGGTGTTTAAAAGGCAAATGCTGGCCGGGCGCGGTGGCTCAAGCCTGTAATCCCAGCACTTTGGGAGGCCGAGGCGGGTAGATCACGAGGTCGAGAGATCGAGACCATCCTGGTCAACATGGTGACACCCCATCTCTACTAAAAATACAAAAAATTAGCTGGGCATGGTGGCACGTGCCTGTAATCCCAGCTACTCAGGAGGCTGAGGCAGGAGAATTGCCTGAACCCAGGGGGCGGAGGTTGCGATGAGCCGAGATCACGCCATTGCACTCCAGCCTGGGTAACAGGAGCGAAACTCCGTCTCAAAAAAAAAAAAAAAAAAAAAAAAAAAGGCAAATGCTAACAAAGAAAAAAAAAAAGAGAGAGAATAAAAAGCAAATGTTATGGTCTCGCCTATCTTCTTCTCTATCCTTTAAAGAAAAGAAAGAATAAACCAGTGAGGTGGCTCACACCTGTAATCCTAGCGCTTCAGGCGGCTAAGGTGGGTGGATCCCTTGAGCTCAGGAGTTTGAGACCAGCCTGGGCAACAGAGTGAAACACCTTCTCTACAAAAAATACAAAAATTAGCCGGGTATGGTGGCGTGTACCTGTAGTCTCAGCTACTCGGGACGCTGAGGCAGATTGCTTGAACCTGGGAGGCAGAGGCTGCAGGTGGCTGTGATCACGCCACTGCACTCCAGGCTGGGTGACAGAGGAAACTCCATTAAAAAAAATAAATAAGGCCGGGCGCGGTGGCTCAAGCCTGTAATCCCAGCACTTTGGGAGGCCGAGGCAGGTAGATCACGAGGTCGAGAGATCGAGACCATCCTGGTCAACATGGTGAAACCCCGTCTCTACTAAAAATACAAAAAACTAGCTGAGCATGGTAGCGCGTGCCTGTAATCCCAGCTACTCAGGAGGCTGAGGCAGGAGAATTGCCTGAGCCCAGGAGGCGGAGGTTGCGGTGAGCCGAGATCGCGCCATTGCACTCCAGCCTGGGTAACAAGAGCGAAAACGCCGTCTCAAAAAAAAAAAAAAATATATATATATATATATATATATATATGCCATTTTGTTTCAGCTATGCCTCCTATAGCCTCCCTCCACCTTAATTTTTTTGGAACATTGCTTTAAGGTTTCAGAATATATCTCTTTAAGACTGGAATTCCAGATTGGATGTGGTGGCTTATGCCTGTAATCCCAACACTTTGAGAGGCTAAGGCAGGAGGATTGCTTGAGCCAGGGAGTTCAAGACCAGCCTGAGCAACATAGGGAGACCCTGTCTCCATGAAAAAAAAAAAATTACCATGGTCCCAGCTAGTCAGGAGGCTGAGGTGGGAAGGTCACTCAGGCCCAGGAGTTTGAGTCCAGGCTGGACAACATAGCAAGACCCTTGTCTCTTAAAAAAAAAAAAAGAAAAGGAAAGGAAAAAGAAGGGTCTGACTAGAACAGAAAGCATGTATCTTGTTACACATCTAATGTGTAAGAAGAAAAAAATGGGCCGGGCGCGGTGGCTCACGCCTGTAATCCCAGCACTTTGGGAGGCCGAGGCGGGTGGATCAGGAGGTCAACAGATCGAGACCATCCTGGTCAACATGGTGAAACCCCGTCTCTACTAAAAAGACAAAAAATTAGCTGGGCATGGTGGCGCGTGCCTGTAATCCCAGCTACTCAGGAGGCTGAGGCAGGAGAATTGCCTGAACCCAGGAGGCAGAGGTTGCGGTGAGCCGAGATCGCGCCATTGCACTCCAGCCTGGGTAACAAGAGTGAAACTCTGTCTCAAAAAAAAAAAAAAAAAAAGAAAAGAAAAAAAGAAAAAAAATGAAGTGGGTTTGAAAACCAATTATGCAGACTAGAAGAGGTAGCAGCAACTTTGATTACAAGGACATAGGTGACGCTTGCCATCACCAACGCCCTCACCAGCCTTCCTCCTGTGCCAAGCCTGGCTCCAGAAGAGCTGAGACAAGAGCCATAAAATGGCTTTCATGCAATAATCTCTACCTTTACAGAGGCCCACTTGGCTAGCACCCATTCATTTAAGAGTCCCTAGAAGAAAGAATTACATCAGTCTTGGGTAATGGCCCAAATTAAGCCATCAAAACCCCTAATAAAGCTTCCATTTTGAACATGTTACAATACTTGAAGTAAAATTTCCAAAGGAAAATAAAAGCCCTTCCATTTAGGGGTGGGGAGGATCTTTGGTCCCTGGGGTCACATCCCTGAGTCATAGTTTCTCTACGAAGGCTCAGGACGGGCAGAAACAAATCCCCTTCTTTGGGGAGCCCTGCCCCCACTTTCTCACCTCAGCACCTGGATGCTGCCTGAGAAGAAGGTGGAGTATTCTTCTCCCAGGGTCCCAGAAGGACAGGAGGCCAGAGACTTTGGGAGACATGTCCTCAGGTCTACATGGAGTCGGGAGGAGGTCGGGGCAAGGGCCTGCCTGCCCGTCCTGGATCTGCTGTCTTTGCTGCACCATATCCACCCAGCTGGTGTCCTCTACGATCTCCTCAGGGTCACATCCACGTGTAGGAATGCTGCAAATGCTGTGTGGGATATGGGAACCCCAGATTTCCTTACTCAGCTTTCCAAACGCTGCTCAGAAACCAAAGTTTAAAAAGGCTTAAACTGGCTGGGTGCGGTGGCTCAAGCCTGTAATCCCAGCACTTTGGGAGGCCGAGGCGGGTGGATCACAAGGTCAAGAGATCGAGACCATCCTGGTCAACATGGTGAAACCCCGTCTCTACTAAAAAAAAATACAAAAAAATCAGCTGGGCATGGTGGTGCATGCCTGTAATCCCAGCTACTCAGGAGGCTGAGGCAGGAGAATTGCCTGAACCCAGGAGGCGGAGGTTGCGGTGAGCCGAGATCGTGCCATTGCACTCCAGCCTGGGTAACAAGAGCGAAACTCTGTCTCAAAAAAAAAAAAAAAGAAAAAAAAAAGTGCTTAAACTGCCCAATATGCAGCGATCTTTAACAAATCAAATGGAAAAAGATAAATTACACAAACAAGAACATTCCAAGAATATGAAAAAATACAATATAAATGGCTAATAAGCATAAGAAAACATACCCGGTCTCATTAGGCGTTAGAGAAATGCTAGTTAAAGCAACGAAAAGATAGGATTTTCAAAAATAGGCCGGGCGCAGTGGCTCAAGCCTGTAATCCCAGCACTTTGGGAGGCCGAGGCGGGTGGATCACGAGGTCGAGAGATCGAGACCATCCTGGTCAACATGGTGAAACCCCGTCTCTACTAAAAATACAAAAAATTAGCTGGGCATGGTGGCTCGTGCCTGTAATCCCAGCTACTCGGGAGGCTGAGGCAGGAGAATTGCCTGAACCCAGGAGGCAGAGGTTGCGGTGAGCCAAGATCGTGCCATTGCACTCCAGCCTGGGTAACAAGAGCGAAACTCCGTCTCAAATAAAATAAAATAAAATAAAATAAAAAAATAAAAAATAAAAAATAAATAAGGAGATTGATAATATGCAGGATCAGAAGGAGTGTGGGGAAAAAGGCCACTCTTGAATTCTACTGGCCAGACTATAAAATGGTGGAACACTTTTAGAAGGAAATTTAGCAACATCTAGCAACATTTGAAATGGAAATCCATTGATCTCCCTTATGGAAATTGACAAATATATAAGTACATTAATAGGATGGTCATTGCAACAATGTTCATAATATTGAAAGGTTGAGCCGGGCACGGTGGCTCAAGCCTGTAATCCCAGCACTTTGGGAGGCCGAGGCGGCTGGATCACGAGGTCGAGAGATCGAGACCATCCTGGTCAACATGGTGAAACCCCGTCTCTACTAAAAAATACAAAAAATTGGCTGGGCATGGTGGCGCGTGCCTGTAATCCCAGCTCCTCAGGAGGCTGAGGCAGGAGAATTGCCTGAACCCAGGAGGCGGAGGTTGCGGTGAGCCGAGATCGTGCCATTGCACTCCAGCCTGGGTAACAAGAGCGAAACTCCGTCTCAAAAAAAAAAAAAAAAAAAAAATATTGAAAGGTTGGAAACAACCAATAGGAGAATGGTGAAATATATTATGGAACATCCATCATATGAACACCAAGCACCTTAATGTATAGTTTTCTATACACCAACACAGAAGGCTATCCAAGAAATGCGGTGGTGGTGGTAGGAACTAGAAAGAATAATCTCATTTTATTTCTATATTTAAAAAAATTTTTCTAGATAAGAGTCTTGCTCTGTCACCCAAGCTGGAGTGCAGTGATGCCATCTTGTCTCACTGCAATCTCTACCTCCCAGGTTCAAGCAATTCTCCTGCCTCAGCCTCCCAAGTAGTTGGGAATATAGGCATGCACCACCAGGCCTGGGTAATTTTTTTGTATTTTTAGTAGAGATGGGGTTTTGCCATGTTGGCCAGGCTAATCTTGAACTCCTGACCTCAGGTAATCTGCCTGCCTCAGCCTCCCAAAGTACTGGGATTACAGGCACAAGCCACTGTGCCCAGCCTCACTTTAATTAAAACTGTATAAAAATTAAGCTATATGGGCCGGGCGCGGTGGCTCAAGCCTGTAATCCCAGCACTTTGGGAGGCCGAGGCGGGTGGATCACGAGGTCGAGAGATCGAGACCATCCTGGTCAACATGGTGAAACCCCGTCTCTACTAAAAATACAAAAAAAATTAGCTGGGCAAGGTGGCTCGTGCCTGTAATCCCAGCTACTCGGGAGGCTGAGGCAGGAGAATTGCCTGAACCCAGAAGGTGGAGGTTGTGGTGAGCCGAGTTCGCGCCATTGCACTCCAGCCAGGGTAACAAGAGCGAAACTCCGTCTCAAAAAAAAAAAAAAAAAAAAAAAAAAAAAAAGCTATATGGTTTTAACTAATTAAATTTATATTTATTTGTTTATTCATCTATATGTTCATTGAAAAGAATTTGGCCTGTGTTGCCAGTACTGTGGGAGGCTGAGGCAGATTGCTTGAGCCCAGGACTTATGTTACCAGCCTGGGCAACATAATGAGACCCCCTCTCTACAAAAAAATTAAAGCAATTTAGATGTGGTAGGCTCCTGCAGTCCTAGCTACTTTGGGGCAGAGAGGAGAGGCTGGGGGGGAAGACTGTGTAAGCCCTGAGGCTTCAGTGAGCCATGATTGCACCACTGCACTCTAGCCTGGGTGGCAGAGCGAGATCCTATTTAAAAAAAAAAAAAGTAGCCGGGCGCGGTGGCTCAAGCCTGTAATCCCAGCACTTTGGGAGGCCGAGGCGGGTGGATCACGAGGTCAAGAGATCGAGACCATCCTGGTCGACATGGTGAAACCCCGTCTCTACTAAAAATACAAAAAATCAGCTGGGCATGGTGGCGTGTGCCTGTAATCCCAGCTACTCAGGAGGCTGAGGCAGGAGAATTGCCTGAACCCAGGAGGCGGAGGTTGCGGTGAGCCGAGATCACGCCATTGCACTCCAGCCTGGATAAGGAGAGCGAAACTCCGCCTCAAAAAAAAAAAAAAAAAAAAAAAAAAAAAGTAAGGAAAATAAAAGGATTTGTAGAGACAGAGCTTCCCTTACCATGCCAAATGTAGCTAACAGTGGTTACCTGAAGAATTGGATCACGGAGCAATTTTTATTTTTCACATTATATATCAATCATACAGTTTTAATTTTTTTTTTTTTTTTTTTTTTTTTTTTTTTTTTTTTTTTTTTTTTTTGAGACGGAGTTTCGGTCTTGTTACCCAGTCTGGAGTGCAATGGCGCAATCTCGGCTCACCGCAACCTCCGCCTCCTGGGTTCAGGCAATTCTGCCTCAGCCTCCCGAGTAGCTGGGATTACAGGCACGCGCCACCATGCCCAGCTACTTTTTTGTATTTTTAGTAGAGACGGGGTTTCACCATGTTGACCAGGATGGTCTCGATCTCTTGACCTCGTGATCCGCCCGCCTCGGCCTCCCAAAGTGCTGGGATTACAGGCTTGAGCCACCGCGCCCGGCTCAGTTTTAAATTTTTTTATTTTTTTATTTTTTTTTTGAGACGGAGTTTCGCTACTGTTTCCCAGGCTGGAGTGCAATGGCGCGATCTCGGCTCACCGCAACCTCCGCCTCCTGGGTTCAGGCGATTCTCCTGCCTCAGCCTCCTGAGTAGCTGGGATTACAGGCACGCGCCACCATGCCCAGCTAATGTTTTTTTTGTATTTTTAGTAGAGACGGGGTTTCACCATGTTGACCAGGATGGTCTCGATCTCTCGACCTCGTGATCCACCCGCCTCGGCCTCCCAAAGTGCTGGGATTACAGGCTTGAGCCACCGCGCCCAGCCCAGTTTTAAATTTTTATATTAAGTTTGAAATCCATGTATAAACAATTGAAATGGTGAAAGAATACAATAACATTGTTGCCTATAAGATGGGCAAAAAATGTGAAGGTTAAAGTCTAGTATTGGTGAGAACATGAGGAAACGGGACCACTCATTTAGGGCTAAGGAGAGTGTCAATTGACGCCTTACTAACAAAAACAATTTGTCAATATCTCACAAAAATTAAACTGTGCAAACTGTTTTACCTAGGAATTCCATTTCTAGGATGCAGTCCCTTAGAAACACCTGCACAAGTAGGGAAGAAATAGGTACAGGCTGAGGCGGTGGCTCATGTCTGTAATCCCAGCACTTTGGGAGGCTGAGGCAGGTGGATCACCTGATGTCAGGAGTTCAAGACCAGCCTGGCCAACATGGCAAAACCCTGTCTCTACTAAAAGCATAAAAAGTACCTGGGCGTGGTGGCATTCACCTGTAATCCCAGCTACTCAGGAGGCTGAGGCAGGAGAATCACTTGAACCCGGGAGGCGGAAGTTGCAGCAAGCCGAAATGGAGCCACTGTACTCCAGCCTGGATGAAGGAGTGAGATTCTGTCTCAAAAAAAAAAAAAAGAAAAGAAAAAAAAGAAAAAAGAAAAAAGAAAAAGAAAAGAAAAGAAAGAAAGAAGTAGGTACAGGTTGAGTATCCTTAATCTGAAAATCTGAAATCCAAAATGCTCCAAAACCTGAAATGTTTTGAGCGCCAGTGTGACACCACAGGTGGAAAACTTCATGCCTGACCTCACATGCTGGGTCACTGTCAAGACTGTTTCAGGTACAAATTATTTAAAATATTGTATAAAATTACCTTCAGGCTATGTGTATAAGGTATTTATGAAACATAAATAAATTTGCATTTAGACTTGGGTCCCATCCCCAAGATACCTCATTACATATATATATAAATATATAAAATGTTCCAAAATCTGGAAAAAAATCTGAAATCTGAAACACTTCTGGTCCCAAGCATTTTGCATAAAGGATACCCAATCTGTAATAATAAAAATCACACAAGCTATCGTTTATTAGATACGTGGTACTATTCGAAGCACTTAGGGATAAAGAGAATCACATCCCCCTCATGTAAAAGCTTTCCATGCGCCAGGTACTTCTCTGAGCGCTTTGCGTGCTCTGCCTTATTTACACAGGGTTTACAACATCCCTATGAAGTGGATGTTTTCATTATATCCAATTTACAGATAAGGCAGTTACAGCATAGAAAGGGGAAGTAACCCACTCAAAGTTGCACAGCTGGCCGGGCGCGGTGGCTCAAGCCTGTAATCCCAGCACTCTGGGAGGCCGAGGTGGGTGGATCACGAGGTCAAGAGATCGAGACCATCCTGGTCAACATGGTGAAACCCTGTCTGTACTAAAAATACAAAAAATTAGCTGGGCATGGTGGCACGTGCCTGTAGTCCCAGCTGCTTGGGAGGCTGAGGCAGGAGAATTGCCTGAACTCAGGAGGCGAAGGTTGCGGTGAGCCGAGATCACGCCATTGCACTCCAGCCTGGGTAACAAGAGTGAAATTCCAACTCAAATTTAAAAAAAAAAAAATGTTGCACAGCTAGTGAGTAGCAGAGCCCAGGATCTGAAGCCAGTCAGTAGCTTCAGGCTCTGGCCTGGAACCTCTAGGCATATAACTTCGCAGCCCCTTCACACAGAGTACTTTTGTGTTTTGTTGCTTGGGTGGCTGGCCAGCACGTTCGGCCCTTTCTATATTGGGTGGGAGGCAAAAGGCCAGATACTCACCTTCCCAGGCCTCAGGCCTCCTTGCTGCGACCAGTAAGCATGTGACTTGATCTTGGACACAGCCAGGTGTGCCTGTTCTGGTTGCTGCAGGAAAGGCTGGTGCGTGGATGGGTCAGGAGGCTGCAGGAGCTCCCAGGGTCCAGCGCTGCTGGAGGGGCCATGGCAGCACCGGGAATTGAGGGGTGGAGACAGTGTCCTTCGAGTGGGATCCAGGACAAGGAAGGGCTCTCTGGCTGCAACCACTTCTGCCACTGGGGCCTTGCGAACAGTTGGGGTGATTCACGGGCTGAGGCAGGCAAGACCCAGAAGGAGAGTCCCCAGGGTAACCCCAAAGGATTGAGCCCAGCCCACTTCAGCAAGTAACAGTTCTCTTGAAAAACAGCCTCTTCTGAGCTTCTGGGTCCTAAGAGAAACCAACCAGGGAGCACGGGACACCAGACGGCCTGTGACTCAAGCCTCCTTATGAACTGCAGACTATCGGATCCACCTAGCCAACCCCGGAACCAAGCCCAGGAGCTCCTCCTCTTCAAGTAGAACTGGGCTGAGCCTGAAAATAACCCTGAGAGTGAAGCTGCGGAGTCACCTGGCTCGCCCAGTATTGTCAATACCCTCTCCCACCTCCATCCACCCCAAGGCCTTCAGAAGTTACACATGAAGGGTATGGAGAAGAAGAAAAACATTCTAGGCTGGGTTACAGGTGGCTGGCTCTCCACTAAACACCATCACCAGCGAGAAGCGGTCTATTATTAAGAGATTAACAGCAGCCCGGTGCGGTGGCTCACACCTGTAATCCCAGCACTTTGGGAGGCTGAGACAGGAGAATTGCTTAAACCTGGGAGGCGGAGATTGCAGTGAGGTTGCAGGATCACACCACTGCACTCCAGCCTGGCACCTGGCAAGGAGCAAGACTCTGTCTCAAAAAAAAAAAAAAAAGAGATTAACAGCAAAAATTTTAGAACCAGACTGTGTGTGTGAATTCCACTTCCACAAGTTACTAGCTTTATGAATCTGAGCAAGTTATTTAATCTCTGTTCCTCAGTTTCCTCATCTCTAAAAGAGAGAAAGTAAAATATCTACCCCCGTCATAGGGTGTTTTGAAAATTACATGATGATATACATACAGCACTTAGAAAAACACCCAGAACCTAATGTACGTTGTGTTACTGTTATTGTTGCAGTGAAAAAGCCCTTCTGAGAACGTTCTAGAGATCTGCTGAACAACAATGTGAAATACTTAACACTACTGAGTTATACATTTGAAAATGGTTAAGATGGTAAATTTAATGTTATGTGTCTTTTTTTTTTTTTTTTTTGAGATGGAGTCTTACTCTGTTGCCCAGGCTGGAGTGCAATGGCACAATCTTGGCTCACTGCAACCTCTGCCTTCTAGGTTCAAGCAATTCTCCTGCCTCAGCCTCCCAAGTAGCTGGGATTACAGGCTTGTGCCACCACGCCCAGCTGATTTTTGTGTCTTTAGTAGAGATGGGGATTCACCATGTTGGCCAGACTGGTCTCAAACTCCTGACTTCAGGTGATCCACCTACCTTGGCCTCCCAAAGTGCTGGGATTACAGGCATAAGCCACTATGCCTGGCCAGAAATGGAAGTTTTTAAACATAGAATTCTCTAATTATGATTTTCACTTTCAGGCTGGGTGTAGTGGCTCGCTCCTGTAATCTCAGTGCTTTGGGATGCCAAGGCAAAGCAGTCAGTTGAGGTCAGGAGTTTGAGACCAGCCTAGGCAACACAGGGAGACCTCATCTCTTAAAAATAAAATTAGCCAGGCATGGTGGGGCACACCTGTAGTCTTAGCTACTTGGGAGGCTGAGGCAGGGGATTCCTTGAACTCAGGAGTTTGAGGTTACAGTGAGCCGATGGTGCCCCTGCATGTCAACCTGGGTGACAGAGCAAGACCCTGTCTCTGGAAAAGAAAAGGAAAGAAAATGATTGGTCTTTTTATTAAATTGCAGATAATTAGAAATGCCTCTTTATTTAAAAAATAATAAAGCCTTTCTGAGAGATGGCCTTAGAAGTTAGTGGAGAAGGGCCGGGCGCGGTGGCTCAAGCCTGTAATCCCAGCACTTTGGGAGGCCGAGGCGGGTGGATCACGAGGTCGAGAGATCGAGACCATCCTGGTCAACATGGTGAAACCCCGTCTCTACTAAAAATAACAAAAAACTAGCTGGGCGTGGTGGCACGTGCCTGTAATCCCAGCTACTCAGGAGGCTGAGGCAGGAGAATTGCCTGAACCCAGGAGGCGGAGGTTGCGGTGAGCCAAGATCGCGCCATTGCACTGGGTAACAAGAGCGAAACTCCGTCTCAAAAAAATATATATATAATAATAATAAAGCCTTTCTGAGAGATGGCCTTAGAAGTTAGTGGAGAAGGGCCGGGCGTGGTGGCTCAAGCCTGTAATCCCAGCACTTTGGGAGGCCGAGGCGGGTGGATCACGAGGTCAAGAGATCGAGACCATCCTGGTCAACATGGTGAAACCCCGTCTCTACTAAAAATACAAAAATTAGCTGGGCATGGTGGCGTGTGCCTGTAATTCCAGCTACTCAGGAGGCTGAGGCAGGAGAATTGTCTGAACCCAGGAGGCGGAGGTTGCGGTGAGCCGAGATCGCGCCATTGCACTCCAGCCTGGGTAACAAGAGCGAAAAACTCCGTCTCAAAAAAAACCCAAAAAAACAAAAAAAAAACAAAAAAAATTAGCTATGTGTGGTGGTGTGGGCCTGTAGTCCCAGCTACCTGGGAGGCTGAGGCAGGAGAATTGCTTGAACCTGGGAGGCAGAGGTTGCAGTAACCCGAGATTGCGCCACTGCACTCCAGCCTGACCCCTCCCAACAGAGGGAGACTCTGTCTCCAAAGAAAAAAGAAAAAAGAAGAAGTTAGTGGAGAAGGCAAATGCTCTAGTGGGCAGCATTTCAGGTAGAATCTGGCATTGCATTGGTCACATGTCTTGGAGGAGACACGGCCCCAGGGTCTGCCCTGACTCATGAGCAGGCCGATGCCTTGGCTGGGTGTACAGACTTGAATAGAATAAAAATCAAAGGGCTGGTGAGACGGGCTTTGGGAAGAAGGCTTGAGAATGGAAGAGCTCAGAATGCAAGAATATTTGTGTGTAGTGTGGCCATTCACCATCAGGCCGTCTCCCTGGAGGATGCTCATGACGCCAGAGGGTGAGGCAAACCTGTTTTGTGGATGTCATCGTTTTCTCACTGGATATTCCATGAACAAAGAAGTTGTGGTGACCAGAGCAAAGGACTTCCTCTTTCTGAGTCAGACCCAGCTGGAGCCACTGCGGAAGGTATAGAAACTACCACACCAGTCCACCACCCAGGTTGTTTTCACTACTCTCTGCCAACATGGAGGGAGCAGAAATGCATCTTCTTTAGAAGGCAGTTTCTTTCTTTCTTTCTTTCTTTTTGAGACAGAGTCTCGCTCTGTCTCCAGGCTGGAGTGCAGTGGTGCGATCTCAGCTCACTGCAACCTCCCCCTCCCAGGTTCAAGTGATTCTCCTGCCTTAGCCTCCCGAATAGCTGGGACTACAGGCGCACGCCACCACGCCCAGCTAATTTTTGTATTTTTAGTAGAAATGGAATTTCACCATGTTGGCCAGTATGGTCTTGATCTCTTTACCTCACGATCCGCTCACCTCGTAGAAGGCAGTTTCATATTTCTAGGTTTGGATTTGCTTTCTCTGACCTGATACTGCCACCA